TTCCTTGCTTTTTAAGCTTGATTGCATAGCATAGTGGTTAGGTTGCTAGATTTCCATCTATGAAACCTGGGTTCGATTTCCCGTAAATTCTTTGCTTTTTAAGCTTGATTGCATAGCATAGTGGTTAGGTTGCTAGATTTCCATCTATGAAACCTGGGTTCGAGTCCCCGTAAATTCTTTGCTAAAATATTTTCTAACTTGTGTAAAGGTAGACGTATTGCAGACATCTAAGCGAGGCTTCTTAAGCTCGACTGTATAGCATAGTGGTTTAATCGCTGTGTGCAGCAAGCTATGAGGCCGTGGTTCGAATCCGAGTAATTTATTTGCTAAAATATTTTCTAATTTGTGTAAAGGTAAACGTATTGCAGACATCTAAGCGAGCCTTCTTAAGCTTGAGTGTATAGCATAGTGGTTTAATCGCTGTGTGCAGCAAGCTATAAGGCCGTGGTTCGAATCCCAGTGATTTCTTTGCTAATTAAAATATTTTCTAATTTGTGTAAAGGTAGACGTATTGCAGACATCTAAGCGATCCTTCATAAGCTTGTCTGTATAGCATAGTGGTTTAATTGCTCTATGCAGCAAGGTATGAGGTCGTGGTTCGAATCCCAGTAATTTATTTGCTGAAACCTTATCTAAATTGCCATTTCTCCGGTATATAAGGAACATGTCGTTTTTCTATATTGGGGTCGCCCGTTAGCCCAATGGTTAGGACGTTAGTTAGCCAAATGTTTTTTTTTCCATGAAGCGGGGTTTTACCTTTTACTGAAAACTACGACGATTTAGAAATGAATATTGTAATGCAGCTTTCAAATACACATCATATATAGATGAAGAACCATCTCAAGTTTAGTTAACGTTGATTTATTATAAACCAAATGACGAACGCGCATGCAACTGCGCATGCTCGTGAACTATAATCACAAGAATATAAGCTCAATACTATAAGACGTACACGTAAAACGCGAGAATGAATTGAACTACAAGTAAAACGCGAGAATGAATTGAACTACAAGTAAAACGCGAGAATGAATTGAACTACAAGTAAAACGCGAGAATGAATTGAACTACAAGTAAAACGCGA